ACACACACACACACACACACACACACACACACACACACACAAGTTGTCACGTACACAGACACATGTATAGCTTAGCTTAGAGGTCAAGTCTACTAACTACGTGCCGCCATATTGTAATTCTGTTAACCTATATAACATGCATGCGTTTGTGCTGATTGGCATACGCTTCCAGGCAATTCTGTTAACCTATATAACACGCATGCGTTTGTGCTGATTGGCATACGCTTCCAGGCATAGAACTTTACGGTGTGTGACTGAAGTTGTTAGCAGTCCATGTTTCCTTGCGGTGTTGGCAAGTTACTACTCCCATTGTAGTGTCAAAACGCTCTTATATTATAGGAAGGTGTGAGTACAACATAGCAGCTAGTAGAAGTGTAGAACTAGACATATATATTACTCAAACAAGGGAATTGCACATAGCGTTCTCCAAGTTTATGTCATCTTTATTTGTCCAGACTTTCTTCTAAATTGTGGTTCAGTTTCCGCCAAGCAAGCAAAAGGACCACCACAAAGCAGACCGCTATGCAACATGTGGCTTCATTTTGTCCTCTATTTACACCTACTAATTTCTACTGCCATAACTGCAATATACAAGTGATTTCTAGCCATGCACATGAATCACTTCACCAAGGACAAGTATCTACTCCATTGTGAAAGGAGGAGAAAGAGGGGTCAGTGTTACGACAGAGAGGGCATCTTCATCCATAGCTCTTCTCTGAGTTATTAAACAGGGCCATGTGTTTCCATTTGTGAGGTGCAGAGCAAATAAATCCCCAGTGCCGATGATGTTAAGCCAGCGAAGATCCCCGGTAGTAGCTTCACTACAGCTTCCGCCGGTGACAACTCTTCTGTTTATATGGGTCTTAAGCTGTAAGTACTTGATACACGCTGCAGTTAGCTACTCTGTTTCTGAGACATAATCCTTTCAGCAAAACACCGTTACCACCATACAATGATGAATATCATCGTTATTTTTGGAAGGGGGGCATGCAACAGCAGATACTGATATAGCTAACATGACGGCACTCCAGAAACATGTCTCTTTTTTCGACGGTAACAAGGATGGCATCATTACTCCTACAGAAACATTTGAAGGTGATTGTGCTTAACTGCTTATGCAAAACATTCTGTAAAAACATGTTATCGTTCAGAGTTTAGACTCACATGTATCTGCCTTTTCTTTTGATAGAAAGCATGTTTACTGTTTGTGGAGCAGAAATTAAGTTCAATTAGATCGCTTGTAAATATAGAAAGCAAATTCAGATGCTCCGCTTGTGCCATATAACAGAAAGAAAATTCTAAGGCATGTTAAGTTAATTTGTTTGCCGTGTTTGTATCTTCTTGATTTTGACTAACTATATTTGGGACAAGGGCTAACATTAAATTTTCCTTTTAGCACAACTATGACATGTAACTAATTATGATCTGCTGATGTTAAAAAAATCAATTTTAAATATGCCTAAATTACCACTGCATGGCCCATGTGTAACTTGTTACTTCAAGATTTCTCGGGTAGTAGCTGTCAGTGCGTTTTCGATTGAGGCATACAGACTTACCTTTCAAGGTGCAGTAAGGGCACAAACCTCTGGTTAGGGCGGCGACTTAGGGCTAGAGCCTAATCTCCTTTTATGTTTATTGGTAATTTGATGGAAAATATATAAATAAGCATAGAGGGATTTTGATCCCTCAAAAAAAAAGCTAGGGATTTCAAAAAGGAAATTCTTAAGCTGAATCTGAAGGATAAGGGAAGCACTAACAAACTTGAAAATAAGCTAAACAGACTGATACTATCCTGATTTGAGCATTAAAGAGACTTGATGATGGTGGCACATACTCCTTATCCTTGCGCCGAGGGATATATGCTGGGTCCCACGTGGCAGAACTATTCTGTTCATATATATTTATTGTTATGACAAAATATTTTATCATGTAGGATTTGTTGCAATTGGTTGTGATGCTGCATATTCTAGAGACTCTGCCTCCTCCGTGCATGCTGCCCTCGGTCCTATAACAAGCCCGGTATGACTACCTCACAGACATCCATGTGCGCACACAGACAATGAACTTAATACTTAAAATTCGTTGTTCAATTCAGGTTGATGCACCATTGCCCCACATTAATATTCACATAGACCTAATCCACAGAGCAATGCATGGAAGTGATACAGGTGCATTAGATGCCAAAGGAAGGTAATTCAAATCGCCTACTTATGTATGTGCATATCTGGTAAATATCACCATGCATGCTATAAAGCAAAAGAAACATGGAAGTGATACAGCTAATTTTTATTATTAATTTATTCAAATTTATACATATACTAAACATGTCAAGCTGTAGATTTGTTCCCCGAAAATTCGAGGAAATATTCAGAAAAAATGCAAAAGTCAGACCAGATGCGCTGACATCCTCAGAGGTGGAAGAGATGATCCTAGCAAATCGAGATCCACTAGACCCTCGATCATGGTAATTTTCGTTGGAACTTTTGGTTATTTGTTAATTGCATTCTTGTGAACCAATGGAGGCATGCAGCATGATTCTATCACGTAGGTTCTCGTGCCAACTAGAAATGTTTCCTTTGGAACGGCATGTAAGAAAGTCAATGGAGGGATCAAATTATGAGTTATGGATTTTAAATTCGACTAAGTTTGCATTTCTAATAAATATAGGTCGGCGCCTGTAAATGAGTGGGGGCTGACATATAAGCTCGCAAGTGATAAGGATGGTTTTCTTCACAAGGATAGTGTAAGAGGTATATATGATGGAAGTGTGTTTGTCAAGTTGGAGGAAAAGAGGAGGTCCCTTCGGAGTGAAGTATGATGGGCGCGCTACACCATTGTGTGTTTGCACAACATTTGGGAAACCTATGTGTTCATATAGTTGTCAAATATGATGTGTATTGTTCAAGTGTACTTGACTGATTTTTATAAGGAAACATAGTGTGCCAACTAGCTGGTAGAATACGATATTTACTGTTAAGAAATGTGTTTACGTTGTAAGTCACACGTCAATTTGTAAACTACAATTGTTTATTGTTTATTGCACTGTCATCATAGCTATAGTTAGCTTGATCAAGTACCATTTTCAATCCATAATATCCTACCAAATTCACACCTGCTCTCATTTACAGATCCTTTATCCACTGATACTAGTGTTGACTTGATTTTTGAAAATCAGGAAAATCCGATATGTGGCCTACATAGTATGCTTCCTGAATGGAAAAGGTTTAGTTTTCAACTTACTTTCGACTAACAATCCCATGAGATGAATGCCCATCTCCACTCTTGACAAGTCATTAACAGCGACAGAAATAAAATATTTGTAGACTGTCCCCTTGGCTAACTAATATTTGAGGTTGGTTTGTGCTATACGTGGAGAGGCAAGAAAAAATTCTGCATATATTAGTACTAGACTAGTAGTTGTGCTAAAACCATCTCATCTGCACCCTCCACCAGTCCACCGCCATATACGGTTAAATGTACCGCCCAGGCTGTTTTGGGTTTGCTTTGACCTGGATTAATCCGAATATTGTGCTTATGTCAACGCCTCCTGGTCAGCCATGCTTCAGGTTGTCATGTCGCCATATGCAACACAAAAGAAATGACAGGGAAAAAAATAAAGGGCAGTGGGGGCACACCTGTCATTCTCTCGCATTCTTCTTCTTTCTCTTACCCTTCCCATCTTCTCTTCTCGCATTTCTTACCAGTTGCCACAGCGACCAATGGATGTCCTTTCTTCTTCCCTGCTCTGATTTTACACACACACACACACACACACACACACACACACACACACACAATCAGCAAATGGCTTCATGCCAATATGATTAACCATGTCCTGAAATAATACATCCCAGTCCCGCATTCCGTCGAACACCTCATGAGCGACCACCATCTGTCCATCTGAATCAGAGAATGCTGTTAATTACTCTAGATGGCATTGGACCTGCACCCAGACGTCGGCAGGTTAGCACGTACCTTCGTGCACGGCTGGTGAACCGTCAGTCAGATCGGCACAACCACGAGCCGTGATCAGGGACGGCAGGTACTCTGGTCACTACTGGAGAAAACCGTTCGAGGCAAATAGCTAGGCCATACCGGAGCAATGGCAAGCGAATGTAGATGGTAAAAGCTTCGTGGTGCCGGAGATTCTTGGACATGACTGTTCTTGGTGCAGTAGTTGATCATGGGAAATGGCGGTGTGGAGCTAGAGGCTGGGTTCGAGCACGTCAGCGAACCCCCGCGTGGCGCAGGCGTGCCAATCCGCGCGGCGAGCCTAGCTTTTCTGAGGGACAGACGTCTGCACGGCATGGGCGTGGAGGCGGACGAGATCGCCGGATGGCGGCGCTGGCAGGAGACCCTACAGGCCGGCCGCCCCTATATCTCGCATTCAGCGACAGTTTTTTTTTTGACCCTCGCTGAAGGGGAGGGCCAATTGGGCCGGCCCAGGCGCGCGAGAGGCCAAAACCTCTTTCTTACTTTCCTTATTCACGTTTTCTGAGTTCGTTTTTGCTTTATTTTTTATTTTGTCTACATTAAAACTTCTATATATTAAAAAAACTACAAAAAACATTTGAAAAATGTTGACAAAGCATTTGAAAAATGTTAAATATGTATATAGGAAATTTTGATCACGTATATGAAAAATGTATCAAAAATGATGTTTATGAAAAAAAATGATCTTGTATTTAGAAAATGTTAGTCAAAAGTTTAAAAATTGTTGACCATGTATTAGAAAAATGTTAGTCAAGTATTTGAAAAAAGTTAATCAAACATTTTAAAAATGTTAATCAAGCACTTGACAAATGCTAAACATGTATAGAAAAAATGTTGACCATGTATTTACAAAATGATGATTTTTTATTATCTTGAATATAAAAATGTCAAGCATTTGAAGACATGTTAAACAGTTATTTAAAAATGGAATCAAGCATTTGAAATTTGTTAAATGTGTATAAATTTTTTTACCATTTATTAATAAAATGACGAATATTTTCGATGATGTATATAAATGTTAACAAAAAATTTAAAAAATGCTAAACAAGTATTTTAAAAATGTAGAATGTGTATATAAAAAATGTTGACCGTGTATAATTTTTTTAATATTTTATTTAAAAAATTAAGATTAATATTTTTTAAACGAATAGGAAATTTGTTGATCAATTATTTAAAAAAAGTTAACCAATCATTTAAAAAATGTTATCAAATGTGTACAGAAAAAGAATTGACCACATATTTAAAAATGTTTAACTTGTGTTTGAAAAATGTGCTATTAGATACCTGTTCAACATTTTTTGAAAACCGAAAAAGAAACAAAGAAAGCGGAGCAAAACAAAGAAAAAAGAAAAGAAAAAACATCAAGAACCATGAAAAGAAATAAATAAAACCAAGGAAAAAGAAAGAAAAGAAAAAACAGTGAAAATGGAGAAAGGAACAAAGAAAAACCGTGAAAAAACAAAGAAAAACAAAAGGCAAAAAAAACAGATAACACTATGGAAAATCAGATCTGTTCTGCTTTAGTATGTCGCGCCCTATAGTTTTTCTTGAACATGACCCTGTTGTGTTGGTTAGCAGCGCTACGACCTAGGATTGAATCCTGGTATGGCCCTTTCTTGTTCTCCATTTTTTTAAGTCACTATTGGTCGGCCCGGGACTGTAGATGCTTAAGCAAGATATCCTATTGTCTCACTTAAAGCGAGATATCGTTGTCGTGTAAACGACAAGACTGGCCAAGGTATATGATTCTAGGGCATGTTTGGTTGGTCGCATGCAACCCATACAATCTTGGTATGTAAAATCGGCATGTTTGCTTACCTGGACTGCATCGAAATTCTGCCCGGCATGTTTTTTAAAGCATCAAGATCTAGATGAGGAAGAACCCTCGATTGTTTCCTCTCGGCCCGAGTAAGCGCGGGTAGGTTTGCAGATAATTGGATTCGAGACAAGTTTCGCACAAAAAATGATGTGCATCGACGTTGTAATTGCATTCCCGTGATCGGTATCTAATTTTGTTCATTGTAAATCTTAAATTTGGTGTTTATGTTTGGAATTTTTAGATGACTCTTTTCATATTGCTCGCATATAGTTGACCTTTCAAAAAAATTGAGATGATTCAAAATTTTCTTTGAGAAGTAGTTTCATCTCGTTGTTTCACAAAACTTTATTGTTGTGAGTTTTATGTGCCAACGTTCACAGACGAGTATATTGTTCTTCATTTCTTTTAAAGTCGCTATTGGGCCGGCCCGGGACTGTAGATGCAAATGACGAGACTGGCCAGATATATGGTGTCTAGGGCATGTTTGGTTGGTCGCATGCGGTCCATACAAGCTTGGGATATAAAATCGACATGTTTGCTTACCTGGATTGCATCGAAATTCTGCCCGACATACTTTATAAAGCAGCAAGATCTGGTTGAGGAAGAACCCTCGATCGTTTCCTCTCGGCCCGAGTAAGCGCAGGTAGGTTTGCATATACTTGGGTTCGAATAAGTTTCGCACAAAAATGATGTGCATCGACGTTGTGATTGCATTCTCGTGATCGGTTTCTAATTTTATTGATTGTAAATCTTAAATTTGGTGTTTATGTTTGGAATTTTTAGATGATTCTTTTAAATTGCTCGCATATGGTTGGCCTTTGAAATTTTATTTGAGAAGTAGTTTCATCTCGTTGTTTCACACAACTTTATTGTTGTAAGTTTCATGTGTCAACGGTCACAGGCGAGTATATTGTAGTGTACTAACATGTTCACCTCTCATTGTTTCAAACAACTCTCATGTCGTAATTTCTTTTTATTTTGATGCTCGTGCACAAAGTTGTTCAAGTGTGGTGGTGTGAGTAAGTTCATCATGTAGACAAGATGTAAGATTAATCATCGGTGCACACGTAACCAGAAAACCTAAAATTGCATCCTGAGGAGCACATGCAACACATATGATTATGCTGTTATGCAACCTATAGGTTTGTGGGCAACCAAACACAATGCACAACATAAACCAAACCTTGTATTTACGCAACCAAACTATAACAGACTACAAGTGCAAGAAGGAGAAAATTGATGTAGGGAAACCAACACGTCCGTAGAACTTACACGAGCTAGCCACCAACTATGGTGTGGTATCATGGAACCAATTTCACGCATAGGTCATTGAATAGGGGTACATTTGTGACTCGCATGTAGCAAGACAGAAGCACACCCTGCCTCAAGAAAGGCTAGAGTGGGTCGGTCAAGCAACGTCTTTGTTAGGTTGCTTCTTGGTTTGGTTCATTTCTTTTTTCTCCTTTTCTCTCTCTTTTACTTTTTATTTATATTTCAAAATGTTATATTTATTTTTGAAATTAATAACTTAGTTTTCAAAAAAATTACCCCACATTTAAGCGTGTCCGTGCAATGTAAAAGCTTCTTCGCAAGGTTTTAAAAGAAATTATACAATTCAAAAAATGCACGTGAATTTCAAAATACGTTTAAAATATGTTCATGGTATTTAAAAACAATACATGAAAATATATTTTTGTTATTTTAGTTTGTAAAAACAATCATAGTATCACTCAAAATATTGTTATTGACATTCTAAAAAGGTTAACATGTCTAAAACATAATTCATGACTAAAAGTGCTAAAAAAATATGGAAAATTTCTTGTGTAATTTAAAAGGAAATAGTTAGTAGTACCTTTCAAAAAATGTTCATAACATTTTAAAATTATTGATATATCTAAAAAATATGTTCATGGCATTTTGGGAAAACAATTAATGTGTCTTCAGAAAATATTCAAAATGTAAAATGTCCAATATTTATTTGACAAATATTCAACATGTGTCCATAA